CGAGAAGGACWCATCACCAAGCCCATAAACAAGTGTCCAAACCAACACTCCCGTCGCCACCATCCAGAAGTACCTCCGATCGCACCACGCGCCGATAACCACTTCGCATCAAAACGACTTCCGATCTCACCTCGCGCCGACAATCACTTCGCATCAAACGATACTGAAACCGCACCACGTAGCCACCAATCTTCGACAAAGCAAAGGAGGTTACCACGATCACCGAATACACAGGAGAAACAGCGGCCACACTTTTCGTCGATCTGGAAGAACATATAGAGTATGAACAAATACTAGGCTCATTCTTCAATATACAACTGAAATGATCAAGTAAAACGTTGAAGCCCCTGCACACGATCTCCGACGCGTTTCGCTGTGGGCGTACACCACAGACTCATCAGGGAGACATAAGTATCATGATCAAGCAAACTAGCTTGGTGAGAGGGTTTAGGCCTTCCCCCTCCATCCTTAAATACTACACCACAAACTACCCTCATGCTCATGAGGCACTACTTGACTCCCGAGGTAGCACTCGTACCAGGTAGAAAAAACATCCGACGCCTATCCCCAACCTTCACCCCACTTCCCACATTCCTTTCTTCCTCCTCTTTTTCCTTTTCCCAAACCCCCAGTGCAGATACACTAGCCGAGTATACACACCATCCATCCCTTCTGATACCCTCAGCTCATAGCGATTACAATCCATACCGATCCTCCCGAACTGAACACTTCTCCCGGCACAGCCGAATCCCTCATACATCGTTCCTTCGTACCTCTCGCACGCAGACCTCACAAAGGGGAAAAACTCACCTCCAAAGTACACCATCCACAGCTTCCCGCGTCAAAAAACACTTCGAGCTTGTTCTTGCAGCGACACTCCACGCTACCAGATCGACATCTTTTCTAGGAGATACTAAATCCTACCATAGCTGATATGGAAACTGCCACTCTCATCGTGGTATCGGCCGACAAAACCGGCAGACTACAACCTTGCATATGCATCTCTCAATCAGAAGAAACGGAGAAAAGGAGGCGGTTCATACCTGCTCCTTGTTCCCGAGTACGTAACTCTCTGATTCGCAAGTCGATTTTTTCCCCGTCGGCCTGCCAAGTACAAATTCAAAATGTCGAACCATCCCTGGGCCCAGTCCAAAAACGCTTCGTAATACTCCGATCGTCACATATGGATAAAAATTCCTACTATTAAAGCTACAAGGCCGCCTTGCGAACGAAAAAACCAAAACAAAAGGCAAGCACAGCGAAAAAACGACCACATACATTGGCTAATCTAAGTACCTGTGTAGGCCGGGGTAAATCCTGAGGAGCGAAGCCCCCCAGTTACCACCGGCCACTCTAGCAAACCGTGCTAGAGACCCGAGAGAGAGAGAGAGAGAGAGAGAGAGAGAGAGAGAGAGAGAGAGAGAGAGAGAGAGAGAATGAATCTTCCACTCAGGAGGCAGAAGATTCATTCTCGTTTTGCGCATTTGTGCAATATCCCTCTACGCGCCCTCTCTCTCTCTCTCTTTCTTTTTCATTTTCTTTTTTTTTTGGCCAGAAGAAGTTGATTTTTTTTATTTTTTTTTTCCCCCTATGTGTACCTACCGGTAGCTCGAGGCTCGGCAAGGTTCGGGATATCCGTGGCTGAGCCACGGGCCTTAACAACCGCTAGGTACTGGTGGTTTAAAAAAAGAGAAAAAAAAAAGAAAAAAAAAAGAAAAAAAAAGAAAAAAGAAAAAAAGAAAAAAGAAAAAAGAAGGAGAGTACTGCGTCGGCTTTAGCTACTATCTGTGTTGTTTAATGTTGATGTAACTTGTGAGGCAGTACATAGTTGCCTGGAACAGACTAGATGATTTATGGACCTAACAGAGGGAAGGTCTTGGTGAGAGTGGGCAGTTAGATGCATAGGGTTGAGGTTTACCCGTTAAAAGGTTTCCGCTGCCCTTTGGTTGGAGAAGAGGTATGGGTTGCAGCATGTGTTTGTACTTTGACCTTTATGTATATGGGACGCTGGACCCGTTTTCCAGCACGTGCTGCTTCCTATGAATAGATGGAGTCATGAATGGATTGTAAAAATAAAAAATAAAAAAAAATTGTGGTACCCATCTGAGCCATCCCCACCCAACCTCTGCTGGGCCTGGGCGCTGTAGATTTTGGCCTGGTACTTGTAGACACGAAAAATGAACAGTGCAGGGGCCGTTGGAGTGGTGGTTTATGCCGCTTGCAAGTCCTTTAGCCCCAGACCCTGGGGGGCTTGCTTTATCTGATAAGCCCTGAACCCTAGAGGCTCTGCTGCTGCCTGAAAATTGCGGAACCCCAGAGAGCCCAGCTCTCCCTCCAAGTCAGTCCGACGCCAGAAGACGTCGGTTCCCCGGGAGACCCCGAGGAAGGTGGTGCCTGGACTCATGAGATGTACTAATTATATCGCCAGACGGTGTAGCCGGCGGAGCTGGGCTCCCAGCGGCACGCCGACGGACAATGAGGGTTTTGAGGGTTCCTTCCAAGCGCATTTTCTGCTGCAGGTTCAGCTTGAGGTCAGGCTCGCCGCCCTAACAGAGGATTCACCCTGTTCTGACCGGGCCTCCCCTAACGAACCGTAGCCTGCCACTCTAGTGCGCCTGTTCGCCGGGCGCATTTTAGCAGAGTTTTTTTTTGTTTTCGTGTTTTTTTTTTTTTTTTTTTTTTTTTTTTTGCGGGGACGTTTCCTGGCCGCCATGCCTGGACGGGACGCCTCGGCAACCAAGGTGACTCGGGCAGCCCGGTTCGTAGCCCAGCTTTTCACCCTTTCTTTTTTGTTTACACTGGTTTACACAGGTGATGGCCACCGTGATACCATGGTCTTAGATTAGGCTGGCGGAGGTAATTGACTACGATTGTATAGGGTCTGAAAAGATAGCTCAGTTCATTCATGCTCAAGTTGCCTTGTATCTCTTTTTTTTTTGGGACAAATGCTCCAATCTATTCGCGGGGAGCAACACGTGCTGGGAACCGGGCCCAGCGTCCCATGTAGAATATACAAACGATTTGAAATACCGGGGCCATTACCTGGCTTCGGGTAAGAACAATGTGAAAAACACTGAAAATTATGAAAAAAGTTCAGGAAAATTTAGGAAAACGTGGGTAACTGTTGACCCATTGCTAGGCTACTCAAGCAACAATTACCACGAAAGTCCTTCCAATGCTCAGAACCCCTGGACTCTCCGACAAAACACTCTAAAATTCTCTAACACTGTCTAATTCCCTGCCGAGCTCTCCCAGGCCTCATGCCCGCACCCTGCTAGGTTACAGGGCAACACGACTCACCCCAGCTCCGGCCAGCGTCGTCTCGACAGCAACCCTTGGTTTGCCCTGGGAATGCCCGGCCCAAGGCATCCCCAGATCTCTCTACCAGGCCTCACGCTACTGCTATCAACAGGTTACAGGGCAACCCCCCAGCACCGGCCAGCGTCATTCTGGCATCGAAAAACCGCAGGTCCATGAATATAACAGCATCAAAGATGCCTAAAATGAGTTGCAAGGAGTACCCAGAATCCTAAGGCATTCTCAAGGGTCTTTTTTTGAGAAATTTTGAGAAAACAAGTTAAGAAGACCTCCCCCTGCCAGCATTGATTGCCCCGGAACCAAGTATAGATGCCGTTTGATGATAGTTTTTTTTTTGAGAAAAATCTGAGAACAACTTGCACCAAGTACTAATGAAAACAGCCTCGAAGGGTCTAATAGAAGAAAACAGACATCTATACAGTACTAAATGCAAAGGGCCCTTTTCCTTTTTGGAAGAACATTCAGATCGAGAAATACCTGCCTTAGAGCCTTTCAGTAGCCCACCCCTACCTGCCTCATCCCTATATCCCGATACTTAGTCTCTACTAGGCCTCACGTCCCCAACTGCTAGGTTACAGAGTGGCACGGCCCATCTCTGAAGACTCCCACCTGCTAGGCTACAGGGCAAAACGATCCGCCCCGGCTCCGACCAGCGTCGACTAAGTACCAGCTTACCAAAGGACAATGGAGTGCCTTCCACCCTCGACAACTCCCCAGATCTCTCTACCAGGTCTCTTGGCCGTACTGATTTGATTGTTCTGCCCGGACCTCCCAGACCATTTTTTTGTTTTTTGTTTTTTACGGCTTATTCTTTAGCCCAACCAATTCCATCACCCGCTGAATCTGACTGGGGGGCCTTTCAGGCCTTCTGTTTATTATCATTAGCATGGCAGCCGACGTTCGGCCGGGGCCGAACGCCCTAACTCGAACGCCAGAACGTCCGGGGCCCACTGTAGACGCTTTAAGGCCGTTGAAGCCGAACGCGGACCCAAAAAAAAAAAAAACACAAAGAACAAATCCAAAAAATCTAAAAACAATATATGTTATGCAGAAAAATAAACTGAACGACATTGCCTCAGCGTTACATCCAAATTATTTACCAAATTTGATATAAAAAAAAAATACAGGAAAAGAAAAATGAAGAGAGAATTAAAATCAGTGCGTGGCCGGGCACCTTTTAAACGCCTCCATCGTTGGCAATTTTTCATTTTTTTTTTGGCTCGGTGAAAATTTGTAGATGTGCGTCTCACATGATTCAAAACTCATTAATTTTTTTTTTTTTAATAATAAAATTGTTTAGGCCCCGAAATAAAGTGAAAAAAAAAAGTGAAAAAAAAAAAAAAAAAAAAAATAGTGAGTGGGCGAGCACGTTTTTTTTTTTTTTTTTTTTTTTTTTTTTTTCCCTCCAGACTACAGTCTTCCCCCCAATGCAACGTACGGTCACTATAGCTGAATTTAGACCGAAAGATGAACCAAATTCGGCAATAATGACCATGCGTTGTATTCGGGGGAAGACTGTAGTCTGGTAGGCCTGTGGAATATTCACGTAAGCTGCTTATGTGTGCTGAGAGAGCACGTTTTGACACTGCCATCTTTGGCGATTTTTTTTTTTTTTTTGGCTTAGCAAAATGCCTTCAAAATTTATAGGCATGTACCTTACATCGTACTCTTTGTTTTTTCAGGCTTTTCTGGCCGTTTTGTTCTGTTTTGTTTTTCGGTTTTGATTTCGGTTTCTTCTTGTTCATTCTTGTATATCCTTTATGTCCACCTTTTTGTCTTCTGTTATTAGGAAAAGTACCACTTTGAGTTGAAGTGTGCGCATTGATTGAGAGATGATAGTTGTGGAGTTTTTGTAGTTTAGTAACTAGGAGTTTTAGTGGGAGGTGGGCATTGTGCTGCACGGAAATTGCTGTAGGTCTTGGGATGGTTATGAACGGGAGTGTAGTACATGGTACACAGTAGTTGTTAGCAATCGCCTCTAGCCTACTTCGACAAGACTACGACTTTTAAACATAACAGATCCTCTTCTTTGAACTTGGCCGATGCCTTGTTAATAGGAGAGGCCGGTAATCTTTTGTGAGGGACGTCGAGCCCGTTTCCCAGCTTGTAATATTAAAAAAAGTCTGCTTGTCCTTAAGAACAAAAAAGAACTCACAAAAAAAAAAAAAAAAACTCTAGGCCCCGAAATATTTTTTGGCGGGGGCCGAACCCCTTAAACCACCAGTACTTGGCCCAGCTATCGGCCGCGGGCCTTCCCCGTTAATGCGCCGACACCTTCGGGGGTCGGCCAAGGGAAGGCCCGGTTGCTGCTTGAAGGCCGGGCCCCTCTTCTTTCGGTACGACACCACAGCCCCACGAGAACAAAGAAAGAAAGAAAAAATCAGACACACAAAAAATAAAAAAGAAAGAAAACGAAAGGTAAAAAACAAAGTCGTGCGCGCGCGCGCACGAGAGAGAGAGAGAGAGAGAGAGAGAGAGAGAGAGAGAGAGAGAGAGAGAGAGAGAGAGAGAGAGAGAGAGAGAGAGA